TAACTTGAATTAAAAATGTCTTCATACGCGATGTTTTTGTTATCAAAAAAGCAGAAGCAAAATGTACCTGTTATTAATTAAAATAACCTTACGTTTACTGAAGCTCATACCAAATGTAAATCGTGATACCTATTTATAATGTGATGTATGCTATGTGTGTATGTACCTATATCTTTATATATATAATTCTTCTGTGAGTGTGTATGTCACTGAACTTCTATCAAACGACTGGACCGATTTTGATGAAATTTTTTGTGTGTGTTCAAGGGGATCTGGGAATGGTTTAGATTCACAATTTTCTCCGCTGGACAATGTTTTTTTAATTAATTTTTAATTTATTAGTAGTTGATTTTGGAATGTTTTACATTGGATCAGACAGACGGCGCTACCATCGCTGTGTCAAATTTGACAGGACAACGTCTGTCGGGTCAGCTAGTTACTTATATATTTTATCTATTTAATGTATACAATTGCAGACTACCGCATGATCTTTATTCGTCCTTCCCATTCCGCGGTTACCTTAAAACTTGTTGTTCAACTTGTTGTGTACAATAAAGAGTATTTTCTATCTTATTTCATTCTTAAACTGTGTTAACTACGCAGGACAACAGCAATGCAGAAAGAAGGAAAACTTGACACAAACCCTATACCAACCCGTCTGGCCAGCGTGGTATAGTAGGCCAAAACCTCCTTTCTAAGGAGAGGCTTATGTCCAGCAGTGGACTATTAAAGGTTGTTGATGTGTGTGTGTGATGTGAAGCAGTATTGCTTGATTACATCAAAGTCCGATTCACTGCGCGAATATCTGAGCCAATTTCGAATACACTGATACCTACCACATCCGGCTCGATATTTTTGGGGTTTTCCAAAACACACGTAAGGATATTTCTTATTCCTATAGATGGACGTGAGCGTAGCTTAGAGCCTTACCCTAAAATCATAAATTGATTAAGTTTATCCATCTTATAGGTAAACCTAAATCTCTTTACCGTCCACAAGGCCCAAGGTTCGTTTTACTGACAAGAGACGATTATACCGCCCAAGATTACATAGATTGAAGGCATTATACTTAATTAACTATCCCTTCAGACCCAACTAGGTCAGGTTACGATGACATTTTAATCTAGGGCTCTCTAAGCCATGCCATTCAAGACATAAGCCTTAACCTTTCACGATATTTATCTAAAACGATTGACGAAGGGTTTAGGTATGTCACTTAAAACTCTCTTAGGTATTGTTCTATCTATAATACTTAATAATGCTTTCAGATAAATTGTTAACATTTAAACCATACTTTATATTAATTCCCGATTGGTACCATTTATATTTAAAGAAAAGTTAGGAATTAAGAATTAACTTTATCATTATTTATGATTATATCGACGCATTGAAGTCGAGTATACATTTATGAAAAATTAATAATTCCGTGTGGTGACGGATAAGAATACAGAGTGTCACCACCCATATTCATCCCGTGGGAGCCGACTAAGGGAGCAAACTACGCAGGACAACAGCACCGCAAAGATAAGGCAAATTTGACACGAATCCTATACAAACCCGTCTGGCCAGCGTGGTATAGTAGGCCAAAACCTCTTTTCTAAAGAGAAGCCTATGTCCAGCAGTGGACTTTTAAAGGCTATTGATGTGATGATGATATGAATTAATTAACCTTCTTGCTGTATCTAACTACAGTTAAAGTATGGAATAGATTATAAACCACTTCTAATACTTTTAATACGACTAGTAGATGTATGTTACTTTTACCAGTACCTGCCTAACTAATGCTATTATTATTCTAGTAGAATAGGTTTTATGGCGTCACAAAACAATATGTTATGAATATCGCATAGACAGATAATTAGATTATAATCTATACTAAAAATCGTACAGGTCAATAACTAATCAGATATTATCTGAAAGCTAGCTGAGGTCACTATGAATATAAATAAACAACACAAAAATTGATTATAATTCATATTATTGTTTGTTTGTAACGTTATCGTGTATAAAACTAACTAAATTCTACTATTTAAAAAAGTCGATTTAGATTTTGCAAAGATCGGTTCAATAAACACAAAAATACACCTGCAAACTGCAGTTTCCTTAGTTCAATGCATTTGTCCATGACTAAATTTGGCTGGAACAAATCGCAATTAGCTATAAGACCGTTATAGTATAGCTAAACCTTAGTAGATATGTGACCAACATTTACTACGACTTACACAACAAAGTGAATTTTTTTTTACACGGTTGACAACGCCCCTCACGACAAAGATAATAACTAAATTTAAATTTCAAAAAGAGTCAATGACCCGGCTTTAATACATTAATCATAAAAAGTAATAATAAATTTAAAGGCCTAAACATTAAGGTAAGTTTACTAATAACAAGAAAATCCGTTCATAAGTGAATTTTAATTATAAGATGTCCAGTGTCTTTGCAAAATTTCGCTGGCACTGAAAACTTTGTACACTCAAAATTTAACTACAAGTAATTTCGTCAGATTAAAACTTTAATAGGCCCTAACAAAACGCCTTACACAAACAATTTCATGATCAGTCACAACAAGCTTACTAAAGTAATTTTACGAATTAATGCCTACCGTAAATGTATTTAGTAATTTACGTAATTATAAAGTTTTAGGCTCACCTATACAACGTTAAACCTTTCTATTATTAATTACATAACGTGAAACATTAATTAAATTAGGAGAAAACTTTATTTCATTACTAGAAGCGCCTCAACTCTTATAACCGATGCAAAGGTGTAAATATATTTAATGCAAGTGTATATAAGCAGCGATAACCACTTACCATCAAGCTAACTGAGTGACGTATCTGCTACTAATTGGTTTCAGGCTACATTTACTTGGAACTATGAGTTACGGTTCTGGGAGGCTAAGATTTAATTAGTTTTTAATTTATCACGCATTTCGTTTCGTATTCCGTAATAACTGAAAATGCTCTTACATAAGGCATTAATATTAGCATACTACTCGTTAGCTAATAAGTAATTCTGTTCGTCTGCCCCCTCTAACATAAAAAATTAGTAAAAAAAACTTGTCAATTCTATAATGATAGCAAGAGGGAAATGTTTCGGTACATACCGAATGGCATACGGGCCGGCTTGACCGTAGTGACAACCGCCTAACAGATAGCTGGTATTAGCAATTCGTGCCTGTTTTCACCAACTGAATGAGATTACCGGAGGACAAACCCCACCTCCGCCCCTCCCCCACTTTGCAAGAGGAGGGCACTCATAGGGCACACAAAATATATATTTGAAGTTTTAAAACATCATAATTGATAACTTAAGTTACAATATTTAGTTCTCTACGCCTTTAAGTCTAGTGTAAAACCTAAAAAAACATTCTCAAGTATTTGTCAGTTCTGAGTACGACTGTATAGATATTACCGTTCACCCAACAACTATGCAGACAGTCAATAAAATTTGTCCTTATTTTCTACTTTCCAGTTATTAATAAAGACCGATTCAAACGAAAGTACGTAAATATCTATAGAAAAAAAATGGAAAAAAATCCTTTAATACTTATTCAAATGGAATTCATATTAGTTTTCATGCTATAAGATTCAGTGTGCAATCTTGGTTTTAAAAGATACTATAGAACGTTTATGTTATTTCTAGATAACCTGAATATTCAGTATCTTTTACACTTAGAGGTACCAAAAAGAGACATGTTTTGATACTTAAATTTTAAACATGTTAATTTTATCAGCCTTTAACAGTCTACTGCTAGACATAGGCCTCTCCTTAGAAAGGAGGAGTAAACCTTCATTTTATTTATATACCTATTTATACACCTATTATAATCTTTCAGTCTTCAGAGGGCTTAGTATGAGCTTATTTCACATCAACTCGCTCCCGAAGACGATTTTATCTTATTGAAGCGTGTTTTTTAGTTTTCCTAAACTATAATGTACTAGCTGACCCGCGCAACTTCGTCTGCGTCTCTCAATAGTAATAAATTTTCTCCGTTTTTAAAACATTCTTCATTGGTGCTCCGCTCCTATTGGTCTTAGCGTGATGATATATAGCCTATAGCCTTCCTCGATAAATGGGCTATCTAACACTGAAAGAATTTTTCAAATCGGACCAGTAGTTCCGGAGATTAGCGCGTTCAAACAAACAAACAAACAAACTCTTCAGCTTTATAATATTAGTATAGATTTGTGGAAATGTGTTGTAATCTCATTCATTCCTCTCTTGTGCATTACGTAATAAATATCTCGAAACAATGCAACTAAAGAAATATCATCTAACTACTAAAAGTCAAGACCCTTTCAATCATCATCTCAGCAACGTGGGATGATGGCTAACAAACGATAATACCTGTATGGCTTGAGAAAAATATGAAACACGTTGTACGGGCCTATAAAACTTGAGGGTTTCCCTCGATTTCTCTGGGATCTCATCATCAGATACCGAGTTGGTGATAATAGGACCACCTCGGAAGATACTGGCTTGGTAAAAATGTGACCTTTCCATTATATTAAGAATTTTGTTTAAGAATTTTCGGAAGGTATTCAAATTCGGCTCGGTTCGATAAGCTGCATTTAAAACGCTCCACGAAAAAAAAAGTTTAAGTGGTTTTAAGTCAAATTGAAGTGCAGTGCAAGTGTAAAACCATAAGTAAAATTGTCTACTTACATTTGAGTGACTGAATTAGTGCATAAAACAAGTGATTTAGACTAGAAATAGGCTAAACTATTTGGCGAGCTTTGAAACTTATATTAACATACCCTACGGAACAATCAAATCGGTCCTCTCGGCGAGAACGCGTAAGCGACGCCGTTTACTGCGGACTTAAGACCTTTCGGACGCGAGGATTGTCTGTGAGTGCTGTGGGCCTTTGTTACGGTGCTCCTTACAATAAATTAATATAAACTATTAAAGCTGGGACTTTGTTAGTGTCCGTTATATTTTTTAATAGATAGATAGTGTAGTAGGAGTACAGAATAGACCCACTTGAAAACAACAAAATGAAATGCTCAGGTTGTTTGAAAGCATCTAAAGATATAAATAGCATAAAATGTTGCGGCGCTGCCTGCGACAAACAATTCTGCTCAATGTGTATAAACATAGGTACAATGTCAAATGAGAAGAAAAAAAACTGGAGATGCCCCGACTGCTGTGCCATGAAAAAAAAAGGTGGTGATAACAGCCTGACTCCTGTTCGGCCGGCTGATGAGAACATTACATTGAGGAAAAAGCATGATGAATCGCCCGAGGAAAATTTACATGCCGAGGTTAAGGAGCTCACAGAAGAAGTTCGTCTTCTTACGCGAGAAATAACTTCACTAAAGGAGCGCCTAGAAAGTGCCACGTCATCTATGTCATGCTGTCAGGCAAGACTAGAGGAATTAACGACTTCAATAGCCACCAATGACTTTAGAATAAAGAGTCTGGAAAATCGAGACAAGGAGGTTAAGATACTTGAAAACAAGGTATTGGAACTGCAACAAGAAGTAAATACCCAATCGCAACAACAACTGTGCAACGAATTAGAGCTGGCGGGTATCCCCGAATCAAACAACGAAAACCTGCACCACATTGCACTACTAGCTGCGAAAAAGGTAGGTGTCGACCTGGCTGATGACGACATTGACTGGGTGACAAGAGCTGGACCTCACATTAAGCGTGCTGTTAATCCCAATAGCGATGTAAATAGTACTAGACCTATTGTAGTGCGTTTTCTACGTCGCAGTAAGCGAGATCAACTAATAAAGGCCTCGAAAACAAGACGCAATGTCACGAGCAGCGATCTGGATGTACCAGGCAAATCATATAAAATCTACTACAATGAACGCCTGACGAAAGAAAATAGATTGCTTTTTCGAACTGCGCGCTCAAAAGCAAAGGAACATCAATACGCCTACTGCTGGGTCACACATGGTAAAATATTTCTCAAACAGAAAGAAGGGAAAGCAGCACTGCACGTGCGTACATTTAATGACCTTACTCGCATATTTTGTACCCCCTAAAACTGAAATAAACTTAGCAGAGTCCTCAACTGTGCTTATACCACATTTTAATATTAATTCTATAACTTATATTTTTTTTACCTTGTATTTTATAAATATGGTTAATTTTACTCTAAACCTGAGTCTAGATATTATACTGTATATTATTTCAACTGAATCGAAACTATATTTCAACAATTATTACACATGCAGGATTGGCTATGTACCTGACTATACTAACACAAATTCGTTCAATTTGATGACAAGGTTACTATACGTCTGTTATATGAAAAATGTATTATCTGGCAGTTATGTACGCAAAATGGATAGAACCACAATGTTTTGTATACATCCTTATATTACTTACCTATGATGAACAAAAATATAACTAAGGAGTTAGACTCATTGAGCATAAATTGCCACACAATATCAGCTCCTGAACAAATGCAAGCTGCAATAACTTCATACCACAACTTTAAAATTTTAACCTTTAATATACGAAGTTTGCAGAAAAATTTTGATAACTTTGAAATAACTTTAAAAAGATTTGAATGTAACTTTGATGTAATTATATTAACTGAGTGCTGGCTCGACGAGTGTACTATCATACCACAGCTCTCGCTCTATACACCTTATAGAACGCAGAAAACAATAAACCAGAACAGCGGTGTCGTTGTTTACGTGATAAACACTTTAAATGGCTGCGTAACAGAGCCGGATATGGATGATGCAAATTGCCTGCAAATAACATTATCCAACATGATCACTATTTTTGGGGTTTATCGACCCCCGTCATTTACTCGTACGAATGATTTTTTGTGCTCACTGGATCTTATACTGTCAAAATACTCAAATAAAAAAAGTACTCTTATTATAGCAGGTGACATAAACATAAACCTACTCTCGGTGACAAGTAGCAGTGACCTACAATATCAATGTCTTACTGCTGAACATGGGCTTTTTCCCGCTATAACTAAACCAACAAGGGGTGATGCTTGTCTCGACCATATTTTATTAAACAGCGTCTCTAATGCTGTAGGTCTAATATGTTCTTCTGACATAACTGACCATGACATGGCAATACTATGTTTAGCTTGTAACAAGTTAAAGAGCAAGACCTATTCCAGAACAATCGTAAAGCGAGACATTGAAGCTATAAGGAAACAACTAATGGAAGTAGACTGGATGCTGCTGCTTGACACCAAAGACACAAACCAAAAAGTGGAAATCTTCTGTGATCGACTCACCGAGATAATGAACAAATATACGAAAAAAGTTTGCGTAAGTCATTCGAAACATAATATTAAGCCCTGGATCACACCAGGAATAATTCGATGCACACAACATCGAGACAAACTACATGCTAAAACAAGACAATTTCCACAAGATACCGCACTAAAGACCATTTACACACGTTACCGGAACTTCTGTAACCAGCTTCTTCGCAAATTGAAAGCAGAATACGAAAGTAGGGAGCTTTCAAATAACGTAAAAAACCCCAAAAAACTGTGGAAGACCATAAAAACTGTATGCCATCTAGAAAAAAACAAAAAGGAACCTACAGAACTTCTTGAACTTAGGGGTAGTATAAGCGCCAAAGACTCTCTAAACACCTGTAACACCTACTTCTCTACTAATGGGGAGAAACTGGCCGACAATATTTTAAACAAACTGCACATTAGTCAGGATGGATTGGCTGAAAAAATTAAGAGTATGCGAATTCTTAATTCTTTCTTCTTGCAGCCAATTGATGAATGCGAAGTAGAATCACTAATACTCTCTCTACAAAATGATAAGGCACCGGGTATTGATGGGCTTACAAATGTCTTTTTAAAAGATATTAAAGACGCCATTTTACAACCTCTCACCTCAATATTTAATTCGAGTCTAGAGCAGGGGCTCTTTCCGGACACCTGGAAAATAGCATCTATATCGCCCATCCACAAGGGAGGAAAGAAGGAACATGTGGAAAACTATCGGCCAATCTCTCTTCTCCCGGTTTTTTCGAAGCTCTTGGAGAAAGCCGTAAACAAAAGACTTGTAAAGTACATTGAATCCTATAATATGATCTCTAAGCGACAATTTGGATTTAGAAGGGGCAAGTCGACCGAAGAAGCTGTTATTCTTTTGACGTCTATAGTATCAGACCATCTTGATAAAAACAAGGCAACTCTAGGTGTCTTTCTCGATCTAGCGAAAGCCTTCGACACCGTGTCGATCCCGATATTAGTGAGAAAGTTGGAAAACAATTTTGGAATTAGAGGCATAGCATTAAACTGGTTTAAGAGTTATCTTACAAATAGGCAACAGTGTGTTAAGGTTGGCGGTGATAGAAGTGACTTGCGACCATCCAATTTCGGTGTACCTCAGGGCAGCATTTTGGGCCCCACATTATTCATCATGTATATGAACGATATACATGACAGTGTCGACGCGGAGGTAATTTGCTATGCGGACGATACTGTAATTTTATATCATGATTCTTCTTGGCAGGGTGTGTCCTCGAAGGCAGAGAACGGAATGCGAAGGGTGACTATGTGGTTGCAACAAAATTTACTTACCTTGAATACAAAGAAAACCAAGTACTTATGTTTTCACAAAACTAAAGCCTCTGCTCCTAACCAAAACCTTAACATAAAACTGCACGACTGTTCAGAGTTAAATCAATTGTGTAAATGTATTGAACTGACCAAAACAGATACTATTAAATATCTTGGTGTGATGATTGACCAAAATTTAAACTTTAAGGAGCATATTAGCGTGCTTTCATCTCGAATCCGCAAGACTGCAAACATTTTTAAGTTACTACAGTCATCCGCGACGATAGACATTTTAAAGACAGTATATTATGCTCTGTGCCAGTCCTTGATAACATACTGCATTGGCTCCTGGGGTAGTGCCCAAAAAACAGTGCTTATTCAAGCAGAAAGAGCGCAACGTTCGGTACTTAAAGTGATGCACAAGAAGCCATTTCGGTACCCAACAACAAAGCTGTACGAGGAAAGTCAAGTGTTGAGTGTACGCAAACTATTCATTTTAAAAACAGTCCTTGCTGTTCACAGAAGAATAATTGCCTCGCAGGAATACACAGACTTACTTTCACTTCGTGTATATAGATTACCAGTGCCCAAAATCAAAACCAGCTTTGCTAGACGATTTACCCCGTTTAAGGACAACTATATATACAACAAGGCAGCTAGTGCGTGTGATATCAAACAATGTTCTGTAAGAGAGGCAAAAATCAAAATACTTAAGTGGCTCACCTCTCTATCCTACGACTCAACAGAGAGTATTTTGTTACCCTTATTGTAATACATATATTATGCACACACTTATATACACCTATCTTATTTACTTTATATGTTGAAATTAATCATTGATTATGTATACATGTGTATGTGTGTATATGTGTATGTATATGTATATGTATGTGTATATGTATATGTATGTGTATGTATATATGTGTGTGTGTCTGTGTGTATATGTATGTATATATAAATTAATCCACATCATCAAATCTTAAAATGAACATACATAGAACCTTATATACTTACTCATAACGCACGTTTGCTTTGTATAAATATCTATTTGTATTTACCAAACAATAATTAACTTAGCATGTAGTTAATAAAATTGTTTTAATGTAAGCTTAATCTAAATGTTGAACCTCTGATAAAATGTTGTCCGAGCTAACAATGGAAAATTAAATGTGTAAACTGAATTGGGTACCCACAGGACAGGCTTGCCTAGTGTGGGGCCACAGGACACTGTTGTCACGTTGTATTTCTTATATGGTAATAAACATTTTTTATTTTTTATTTATTTTTTATTGTAAATTGATCCAAAATTGTTTCTTTAAGGGGCGCTCGAAGTAAAATGAAGGATGTGATTTTTCTAGAAAATTTTATAATTATTAGTTGTAACTTTTGTTGCATTTTAAAATAAACCCCATTTTTCACTTGTATGCTAATTTTCATAATTACAGATTTATAACAAAAATCATAGTTAAAAAAATAACAATTATTTGAAATGACTGCCCTGTAAGTAAAGTTCAATAAATGTCAGTTCCGACACTATTCTACGACGTAAATCGTCATACGATTTATTTAAAAGATGCACTAAAATTACTTCCGAAGTACATATCTTATGTAGAACGTTGTGCCCAATTCGAACCACCTCAACACGCGTCAATAAAGTAATGTTTTCAAACCTTACTTAAAACTAAAGTCTAAACAAATAATCACTCATTTCCGTCCTAGATTACCGTACCTATTTTTTTTTTTCACGGCACGCCTTATGATCGCTACCAGTGCCCATGTTCATGGTGATATGGCTACTGACGTGCTCACACAACTGTTGTCATGTCTCATGTGTATTTACTGGCACCTTTCTCCTTACCATCAGTTTTTTAACTGCAGTCTTATGTTTTCTGCAGGTACTATACAAGTAGATGGACTTGCTAAAGTTCTACCACATTTTTTTAAAAGAGGTTACCGACCTCAATTTTGTTTTTTTTAAATAATTGATAAAAAAGAACCTAATGCTAATACTACTCTCTAACGGCAGTTTGAACGACGCTTCAATGATAACAAAACAGTGCCGCCTAATAGGAATTAAACTGCCAAATGGGATCGTACCTTCTGGCGTAACCTGATCACAACAGTCTGGCAATTTTAAGTGCTTTTATGAGCCTACTCAAATCTCTGGTTTCTGTCTGGTTCAGTTATATGATTCCCAAATAATCTACTCTAGTATTAGTCTACCTAATGCTATTAGACTCGGCTAGACCTGGGACCCCTATGGTGTTACGGCATCCCTTTTTAAATTATTGATTGGTGTGTAGTGTGGTGTGTCCGTGTGGTGACGGATTAAGAATACGGAATGTCATCACCCCAATTCATCCCATGGGTGTCGTAAGAGCCGACTAAGGGAACAAACTACGCAGGACAACAGCACAGCAAAGACAAGGAAAATTTGAAAAAAATCCTATACCGACCCGTCTGGCCAGCGTAGTATACTAG